AGACATGCCTAGCTATCCATTCGATAAGCAAGTGAAGATAGTAATTGCAACTATGGCACTTCACAACTATATAAGGAGGCATGCCCAACGTGATATTCATTTTGACAAAGTGAATGACAACCCAAATGCAATGGAGATGGAGGGTGATGCACAAGAAGAATATCATATTACTCAAGGGCCTGGAGCACAAGAACTAGAAACATTAAGGAACAAGATTGCTGCAAGTTTAATGCATGCATCTTCTTAGACATTTTCTTTATTTCCATTTATTTAAGCCTAGTTTCAATTTGTTTTTATTGCTACAATTCAAACCTTAAAAAAATGTTTATTACTTATTCAATATCAAGGATGGTGTATGAACCTACTACCGTGGTGATCTCTTTATCTTTGTTGGAATTTATTCAATACATAATTATCATTGTTGGAGTTTATTCAATTTGAATTTTTCTTTTCTCTAAGCAAAGATTAATATAATTTTTAGGGAGAAAAGTATAAAAGCACTTTACAGTTTTATTTTTTACCAAACAGATTAGTAAAAAGCATTTTCAGCATCATGTCCATTTTAGTCATTATAAATAGTTACAGCACTTTTACGGTAAAATTTACCAAACACTCTGACACTGCTTTTCATACTCACAACACTTTTAAAATTACAGTTTACCAAACGTTTAACTGCTTTACTTTACAGCTGATTCTTCTTAAAGCACAGCAGAAGCAGCTTTTTTTTAAAACGGCAGCAATCCCAAACTAGGCCTTACACATGGCACTCAACTGCCAACTACCACCGGTATGGAAAGTTGAAACTTGAAAGCATCAACCATCAACCATCAACCATCAACCATCCTCGTACAAAAAGTAGCTGTTTATAAGCTCAGATCTTGAGGTACGTGACAGTTTTGCTACAAGAATATAGCTAAATAATTAAAACGTATGCAAAAGCAGACACAAAAGGGAAATTTTATTGCAGTAATTCGAGGTTCCATTCTACAAAACACTATGCACTTTCTTTGCAGCAGTGCAAATTACACTGATCTATCTATAAACAGATTCAGAAGTACCACAATTCAAATACCTTCATATTAATTACTTTACAATGAAAGAAGCAGCACATTACTATGCCTGACTTGCCGATATCCTAATTAAAATTCAGACCAAAAGCCAAACAGATAATTGAAAAAAAAAAAAAAAGCAAATGCAATGTAAAGGAAAGTTTAACAGTCACTTCTTCTTCTCATCACTGTCATCCAAGAAAAATTAGGCCTCTCTACCTTTGTGATTCTCAGAAGAACACATTTATCTCCAGCTTAGCTCAGAGATTCACTGGGTATCTTTCAATGCACTCAAGCCATGGATTTCTAGAAGGCTTCCTAACGCGGCGCATGGACCGCCAAACAAGGCTGTTGCATTTGAATCCAGAACCAAATGCCAATTGCCAAACCCTGTCTCCTCTCTTCACCTTCTCTTTTGCTTCCAAATAAGCCAGCTCATACCATATGCTGCTGCTTGACGTGTTGCCAAAACGGTGTAGTGTCATCCTAGAAGCCTCCATGTTCTCCTCACTAAGCTCAAGGTTTTTCTGCAGCTCATCTAGCACTGTCTTGCTTGCTGCATGGACGCAAAAGCGCTCGAATGCAAGCTTGAAATCTGGGATGTATGGCCTCTTGCCCGACAATAAAGATGGCTGTGAAGTGCCTCTACCAGAAAACAAGTGCCTTGAAACCAATGTAGCAAAGAAGAGGAGCTGCTCTGAGAAGGGCAAGACCAGAGGTCCCAAAGTTGTGATGTTGGTTTTCAAAGCATCGCCACCAATTTCCACTAGTTCTTTGCTGATCTTCAGCCCCTTCAATCTATTTTCATCTTCCTCTTGGTACACACACCTGTGGCATCACATGTTGTAGTTGAGTTAATTACAAGGTTAGTTCATAGATTAAGGGTTGTGATTAATTAGCACCAAGCACTAATTTACAATAACTAGATACTGTAAATTGATACATGTTACCTTTCTCGTTTATCCTTGTACCCAAAAAAAATTAATGGGTTGAACCTACAATATTCTGTCATGGGCCAATCAATTAATGCTAGTCCATGGACCACTCTAACATCCAGAGCCAAACCCCTCACCCTGTTATCTTCTAGGATGAAGGTCAATTACTTGATTGAAACTTGGGTCCCAAATTTAATAGCTCTCTTTTCAAACAGCAAAAGGGGAACTCTAGTAGTTATTAACGTTGCCCTTATTAAATGTTGAAGCATAATGTATTATGACTTGTTATGTAAGGAAATTCGCACTGGTAAATGCAAAAAATAATTAGCAAGGAAGCAAGATGAAAATCGCAAACCTGAAACTCCGGTCATCGGCGCCTTTATGTGTACGAACAATGTGTTCTAGCCGGTACTTGGCACGGTGGTAATCACGGCGGCGATTTGAAAGCAGCACGGCAGAGCACCCCATGCGGAAAAAGCAATTAGGAATGAGCATGGACCTGTCACTACCAGGGTACCAGTTATATCCCACCATCTCAGTACTCACCACCACAGCATAGTTATTAGGATTGGCCTGAAGCATGTCCCTAGCCAAATCAACTGCTATGATCCCGGCACTGCAGCCCATACCGCCAAGATTGTAGCTCAAAATGTTGCCTCTCATTTTGTAGCGGTTTATGATCATGGCTGATAAGGATGGCGTAGGGTTGAAGATGCTGCAGTTTACTACAAGGACACCTATGTCCTTCGGACGGACCCTGGTCTTTTCGAAGAGCTCATTGAGTGCCCCAAACATTACTGCTGAGGCCTCTGCTCGGCCTTCTTTCATGGTTGCTGCGTTTTCGGTCGACGCGATCACTGATTTTGGGATGTATGTCTCGTCCCCTAGGCCTGATGAGTTCAGAATTCTCTTCTGGAATTCTAGGCTTTCCTCATTGAACTTGCCCGATTTTCGTGCTGCCTCTATGAACTGATCCTTGGACACCTAATGAAGAACATCACAAAGCACCGTGTACCCATCAGTTCTTTTGTCCCACATCATAAACATGCTTTAATTAGTGACTAGAATAATATGATTAAGTTAAAACCAACCTTTAGGTCGTCATGAGGGCGATAGCAAGCAAAATCGACAAGGTAGATGGAGCGAGGGCGTGACATGAAGTAGACAGACAAAGTGAAGACAAAAACACCAAAGAAACCAAGCACAGTTGCAAGGTCATAACGTGCATCGTCCCAAAGCTTCTTCCACAGCTCCTCCTTACTCAAACTCCCAACCTCAGCACTGAAAACCAGCACGAGCACAGGAATTGTGGCCAAGTATATGGCATGGTTTATGAGGTGGTGGTAGCCCAACTTCACATACTTTAGGTTTACTGACTGCAGAAAGTCCGGCAGCCGCCTTCGGACTCTGACTGAGAACGTGAGAGAACCAGCATTGGGGCCTGAAGACTCAATCCCACGGTTCACAATCTCTGTGGACAAGAGATCTCGTTCGCTAGCCATGGCAGATGATGGGATTGGCATATATTCTTGTGAGGAGGGGATGTGATGAGGAGGTTAATATTTATATGATCATCAAAGGTGGTGGGTGGAAAAGAGTTAATGCAAACACCAACTAGAACCAACTAGACGAGGGATTAGTTGGGGGCTTTTAAGTGCCTTAAATTCTTTTCATTAATGGAATGAAATTTGGGGTGTGTGAATTCCAAGTCCAAATGCAAGTCATCTTCTTCTTCTTCCTGGTTTTTCTCTTATCTTGAGGAGAATTTATTAGTTCTGGTTATGGATGTGAGTGAAGATGTCACACTTTGTTGGGTTTCTTGTGACTCGTGAGTATTAAATAGAGTCGAAACAAAAGCAAAAAGGGGAAATTAAAGGGGGTGGTTGAAGGGATTGCCCTCAAGCCATTAGCTGGCTTTACCAGGCTTGGTTTGGTTCAGCTACCATCATCATCACCGTACAACTATATTTACCCAGGTTCTGGTTTCATTTTATCTTTAAAGAAATGAAATCACAGCAGAACAAAATCACCAGACTCTCAGAAAAAACGGAAGGCATGTGGAATACGTTTTGATCAAGATGCTTATTGGATTGGATAACCACATTACATGTCCTGTCAATTGGGGCAGTAATACTGATCAATTCTTTTGGTACTGCGTCTCCATCTCTAATACAATTCAAACGTGAAATACAAGAAAACAGTATATCTCACCTATTTTACTGGAGTCATAGTAGGGACAGTCATCTGCGTACGCATGGTGATTAGCCGTTGATGGGTTATGGGAACACACTTTCACCGACAGCTAACAACCATCCATACACACATGTGCGACTATCAATAACATTTCTTTATAAGAAATGTGTTATTGCCAGTAGCATTTTTCTTTATATTGCACTGGACAATCCGAATCTTTATTCCTGAATGTGACCAGGCTCGTCTATATAAGAATAGGAAGATTAGTCCTCAAATAAGCAAAGGCAGCTAGTCAGGAGATTAGAAATTTAGCTATGCAAGCATGAAGTTTCATCCTCAAAATGACCACCTCTAGAAGACCAGAACTAACACTACTCTTGCAAGTTGGCCTCCTGTCGAACAAGAACCTAAGCCCACCATTTACACGTGCCAATTCAGCATGTAAACGTTTATTAGGAGATTACAAATTTAAGCCTGTGATTCAGATGATAAAAGAGAAATCATAGCCTTGGCAGAGTCTGGTCCATGATTGTTCACGCTCGGTATTATGTCAGCTGGAGATATAAGTTTCACAAACTCTTTGAGTTCTGTAAAGCTGGAATGCTCGCTGTATGGGACCTCATACCTGCATTGCAAGGACCATCATCTCTAATTAGTCACATGTTATACTATATCTGTTACTTTTCACGCATTTGAAAGTAGGCATCCATTCATGTTTCACTTTAAAAGCTATGCTCACATGCAATAGCTAGAAGGCTAAATTATGTTTGACAATCGACTGCCGGTGACATGGCTTACATCAACAGTAGGGTTTACAAAATCCGCACCATCTTTTCTACTGGGGAGCGTTTATTACTATATTGCATGATGTTTAACTGTCAAGAGCTTCCATCTATGGAAATGGAGAAAATGTCACCTTATAATGGTGCCCTGCTGCGACCTTCTTCCTGGAGACTTCTTCTTTCCTTTACCAAAAGTCCAACCAGTTGGAGAGAAAGCAACAATAAGGCTGAATCGACTCTGAAAGTTCAGCAGAAAGGAATTAGTCAAAATAGTATTCACTTCTAAACTTCAGTCCACATTCTTTTAAGCCCATCTAAATCAGTAGAATTTGAGTTCACGGAAAGGGTAACTTAATCTAGGCAGGAAATTCATAACACAATACAACTTCACAAACCTCAGAGAATCAAATATCTTATCCCAAGACCAGACTTTATTAGAATTTGCAGTACACATCTAATACATAACTTATAATGAGGAAAAAAAAGATGTCTGGGTATATCTACATACCAAGGTCATAACATATTAATAAAAAGGGTAACCCCTCACCGCATATTGATTGGACATATGCTTCAGTCGCTTGAAGCTTGCAAGTGTCCACATAGGCACCACATGGATTTGGCTTTCCTGTTCATTTAATGTAAACCATCGCATATCCTCCTCAGGAAAATCCAGACATTTTAAAATATGCAGCTTTCCTGGGTTGATGTAAATTTTTTTCCGGAGCACACGAGCTACCTCCAAATAAAGTCGTTCCTTTCCTTTTGCAAAATGAAAATAAAACACATGGATGGGGAGAGAGATGAGTGAAATGGGGTTAAAGCAATAATTGCAAGAAAATATAATGACCACTTCGTAAAGTAATCTAATGATATAGAGCAATAAACTGGTACGGATACGCAGTGAACTCTACCAATAGTATAGCTGCCAATCAGAAATAGAGTTTTAGGGTTGAAAGTTTCGGCTTGAATGGCATCAATGACGAACTGTATTACAGCCTCCTGCTTTGGAAAGTCATACTGCAAAAAAACATGAAATGGGAGTAAAATTCAATTCATTCTAGATTCGTATGATGTAATATACTTTCCAATGATAAAAAAACGAACTAACTATTTGCTGAGGGTAGAAAGGAAAGATCGAAAATTAAGTATCAACTTGTCCCAGACAGACTAGTGCATAGTGTAATGGCGAAACACATACTAGCTAGTATATTGACATTATGGAAATTAGGAGTTAATTACTTTTGACATAATGCCACAATTCATGGGTCAGACTCACCTGTGGGTTACAATAAGTGGTATCAAGGATGAGAGTATGGATAGAACATGTTTGCAAAAAAGACATGCTTGCTGCATTCTCACTAAACCGAAAGTCCCCTGTATGTAGAACAGCCTATATACAAAAGGAACCAGGATCATTACCCCAAAAGAAGATAGGAAAAGAAAATATACCAGAGTACTACCGAGTGGGTCAGGAAGTAAGTTTGGACCACACCTTACTGTTGGGTGGCTCAAAAAGTATAATTACAGAACCAGGACAGTGGTTTGCATCCAAACAGGTCACATCAATACCAGCAATATTGATTTTTTGGTTGAGAGGTAGAACTTTTATATTGTCCCACGGAATGCCAATCTTCATATTTACAAGCTTAGCTGTGATGGAAGAACAATAAATCTTTCCATGACAGAAGGACTTCGTTAGACCTTGATAATCTGCAGTAACAAATGCAATCATATCAAACCAGACAACCTTGACCCACAAATGACTGCACACATTTTTAGCCAAAGGTAGTAGTTGCCATCACCCCAACTGGGGTACGTTTCCAGACAAACAAGCAAGATCAAATTTAACCCAGAAAAGAAAAGCATTCTTACGATCCATGTGAAAGTGAGTGAGAAACCAATGCGAACAATCCCGCCTAAGATATTTGAAAGCATCCTGCAAATGTTGAGAAAAATGAACTTAGCAACAAGACCTGCCTCATGATTATAAATGAAGAAGGTGAAAGCACCATAACTTATCCTAAAGCTGAAGAACAATTACATACTAGAGAAATGTCTTCGTCCTTAATCTAATACAACAGAAACATTTGCAATCCTTTGCAAGGCCTCTTACCACTCGAAATGGTGTTCCTGGTATGCAACACCACGAGGGAATATCCCTGAGTTTCCGAGTAGTCACATGATTTTTGGCCGCACCACCTTTATGACCAGAACCTGACCCACGTTTTTCTACCCTTTGGTGCTCTCCAGAGGTGGTGCAAACTTGCTTCCTAGCAGTAGTAAAACCTGGAAAATAATCTGTAATCAACTTGTTTGCAGCTGTTTTACTATTATCAACTGGTTCTTCCGAAGCATCATTGACTGTCTCAACTCCACTAGCGCTCCTTTTTCTTGGTTGTGCTTCAATTCCAGGACTAGTAGTCCCTTCTCTAAGTTGAGTAAGGGCATGTACAATCTTCTTTCGAGGACCAAGTGCAGCAATGCCTATGCTGAACAAATCCTTCGCAGTACAAGAAACCAATTAAAAAGACAAATTCAATCCATTAACAAAGCAACCAAAGGGTGAGTGTAGTTTCTCAAGTTCTCAACTATGCATTTGTTAAGTGACTAAGTGTATGCTATGTTATATACCTCTTCTGTGAGCCATTGTAAAGTGTCCCAATCAATTTCTTCTCGAACAAAAGCATCCTCGTACTTTTCTAAGCCCAGGCTGCGTAGCCACTGAAGAACTTGCCCAGAAACTTGAGGTTCCCTTTGGTCCTCTTCAGGAATCGAAGCCTGCTTGAGATGAAATACCCAACACTACTTCAATTAGCAATTACAATCAAAAGGGAAAATCTTCCTAAGGATTGAAACTTTACACTTACATCTTGAGCTTCAATTTCCACTTTGTCAAGACATTCTCCGAGATGTCAACCCCGCATAGAGGGCACTGTACCAAACCCCCATTTTCGTCCTCCACAATTCCATACCCTTCCTCCATTCCACTGACACCAACACTCTCTCCCTCTTCTGCTTGATCGCAGAGCTTGAGCAGCACATCAAGCTCCTCAAAATCCTCATTCGGCGAGTTTCCGTTGCCAGAATCCAAACTGCAATCAGCTCGAGGCTTGATTAACTTAGACTCTATCGAATTGCAAAGATAACCCCCTTTTGATTTTAACGATCCCTTTTCCTTTTCCTTTTCTTTTACCTCATCAACGCACGCAGAAGAGCAAGCGACATTATCAGCATCGAGGCCCCCATAGTCGAAGCTTGCAGGTATGGAATCCAAGCTGAAATCTTCAATAGGCGTGGATTTGAAACCCTGGGTTTGCACCAAAATAGAGTCTTGGTTGCTGAAAAAATTGGGGGGAATGTTTTCCTTGCCGGAGCTGAAAGGTTTGGAGCGCTTCAGTTTCTTGGACGGCTTGGGAGCTGTGGCTGTTTGGGTAAGAGGGATCTGAAAATCATCATCGTCTTCGACTATGGAGTTGAATCTGGTAGAAGAGAAAGGTTTGGACTTGGAGGCCATGTTTGGTTTCTCTTCTCCCTTGAGTCTTCTCTTGTTATCACTACTCTCACTCCGCAGGAACTGTCTGGTTCTTTGTAAAACTGTGAACTGTCTGTAATATACAAGAAGGAGAAAAGCCGTAAAGGAATGGTTTTTACAGAAGCTATTCGAAAATTTGTTTGGAGCAGAGGAAAGGGAGGGAAAATTAACCCAAAAGTTGAGTCCGAGTGTTTTGATTTTTTCTATTTAAACCCCACACTTCTCTTAGTTCACCCTAATATTTAAATCATTAAGCTGTAAGTTTTATTATTGTGTAAAAAGACAAAAAAGGTCATCCAACTTAATACTTAACCCTAATACATCTATACACACACCCCCACACACCCCACAACTCTTCAAATTAAGTTTAAAAAAAATACAAACTCTTCTACATCCTATGCCAGATTACTTTTCTCTTTTAAAGACGTTGAACATTGACGAGCCTACCACTTTGAAATCTGCGCAAAAGCTAATGGAAAGACTTGTTGATTGTTTCGCTATAATGATCTTATTCTCTTCCCTTTGTTGATTGTTTTTTTTTTTTTTGGTACTCTTGGCTGTTGATTGCTTGATTGTTTTGATTTTTGATTTAAAATTTATACCTGATGTTTTGGCAAAACTGTTCTCTTTCTCTAGAAAGTATGGGGTAACTTGAATTTTTCTTCATATTATATTAATTGACATACACATTCAAAAGGCACGAAACCAAGAGATTCATGGGAATATTGTTAAGTTGGGTTTTTATTATCCTGCGGAGAAGGGGGAGAGAAGCCCAAGCTTTGACAATGGTCCTACAATTTGCTGGGTGCGTCGTATATCAAAAGACAAGTACATCTACTTTGGCTATGAGCAATGGATTGATATCTTTCCTTGGTATTGATACAGCTGTGTTTTGATATTGATGCAGCTGTGTTTTTTTTTTCTTTTTTCGGCACAATACATTACATAAGTCTGCCTGTGCAAGTCCAAAAGAAAGAACATTCTTTCTTACATTTACGTTTTCTGGCCTAAAATTTTCTTGAGGGAACTAATAAGATTGTCGTTGGTTATTATAATTGAACCTTGGAAAATAAAATTGTTGCATCTTTCTTTCTGTTGCTCTCTCTTTATTTCATGAAGAGTGGCAATGTTTGCTTTGGTGATTGTTTGTACAAATATCGTCCCACTAGAATATTCGCCAAAGATTCCTTCGTCTTCTCCACTTCCCTTTCTCCCTGCAAAACAGATCGGGGTAAAGGACCACACCCGGGGGGTGTTGGCCAAAGGCCCTCCGATGCCTAAGTTAGGTAGGGTATTTCAAGGAAAACCGGGTGGCCGAAGCCGTGTGTGGTGGCCGGAGCCTTGTGTCAGAGAGAGAAAGAAAGTGGTGGCTAGGGTTTGTGAGAAAATATTTCTGCAGAGTTTCAGTAGGAATTTAGACGTACCTTGACCTTTTCTGCGTAGCCAAGTATTTATAATGGTCTTGGAGGCTAGGGTTTCAGAGGAATAATTCCATAGATGGAAGGGAATTATTCCTCCCCTATTTGGAATTGATTTGATTAATTAGGGATTTGATTTATTATGGTAAATCAAATCCCTAATCGTGGTAGGTATCATATCAAATCCTAATTTAATTAGGTAACTCCTCATTTAATTGGGAATTGGG